CACACACACACACACACACACACACACACACCCTCTCCCCCGACGCCCCGGTTCAGGCTTGGCCCCACTGAATCCGGAGGTGGCCAGAGTTCCTCTCACCTGCTCTGGAGTCGCCAAGGCAGCAAGGAGGTTGCACTGACCCAGACTAGGGAGCCGGGAGCCAGGACTCAGGTCCCAAGTGGTCATTTCTCTTTGCCTCAGTTTCCCCACGGAGTGTTGGATGGCTGGGGGATGCCTTGACAAGACGAAGACCAGGCTGAGAACTGACTTCCCTCGTCAGACAGTTTCAAGTAGAGTCCTCAGCAAGAGTGCACCACAGGGCACTGGGAGCCAGCGGGAGAAGCTCCGGTCTGGGTGGCTTGGCTTCCGCCCACCTCCGAGCCCTGTGCCTGCCCCTTGGGAGGGGTCAGCTGTGGCCTCAGAGTTTGGCCCTAGCAGAGGCTCCGGTAGTCCCAAAAATCTTCAGCCTGCCCCATGCTTCCCTTGACTTGCAGGCATCTTTGCCTGCAGAGGTCTCCTGCCCTTCCCTTCGGAGGTCTGCACTTTGGGTGGCCCACATTCCTTCTTCAGGCTCACAGTCTTGCTTCACAAGAAATGAGGAGAACCTCAGGATCCCACTCTGAGCCCAGCCCAAGGACAGCCAGCGAAAGAGTCTGATCTTGGGGTGCACAGCCTAGACAAACCACCTTAGGGAGCTCCAGCGGCAATGAAGGGGTTAGGTGCCACTGCACTCTTGCCTGACTCACCCTCCCAGCTCTAACCACTTTGGGCTATTTTTGCCAGAGAGGGGCCCCAGGCTACCCAGCCACCCCCCCTGCCCCTGCCAGACCGCAGCCCAAGGCATGGCTGGCCCTGGGATCCCAAGGCTGGCACATTGACTCAGAGACAGGCCCCCCAGGGAAGCAGAGCCACGGGGCTGAAACCCACAGCCACAGTCATCTCTTCCTTGGTGGTGGCCATGCAGCTCTGCTGGGCAGCCAACCTCCAGCCTGCACCGCTGGAGTCCTGCCCCTTGCTACAGGGGACACTGCTGTCTAGGGGTCAGAATGGTCTGGAGAGAGTGCTTTGCATCTGTTGGGATATTTATTGACCACCTTTATGTGCCAGGGAGGTACATAAAGCAGACTGGGGAGGTAAAAGTGCTATGGTTCCTGACAATGGACAGCTGTGACCACAGAGGGCTGCTTTTTTCTGCTTTCCCACCTGGGGGGGGGGGTGCCCTAGAGCTCTTGCCTCTCCTTCTTTAGAGGCCAAGAACCAAACCATGTGTGGTTTTTGAGGCCATCAGAATCCGCCAAGACCCATCTCAGTAGCTTTCATCCTTACACCTGGATTTGGCGATCCTTGCCAGTGTCCTAGTCTTTCTTCCTGCGTTGTCAGCCTGGAAATCCACCCAGGTCCCTGGAGGAGGGGAGGAGGTTTCCTATTCCCCTCTTCTCCCATGAGGACCACTTGGACATTTGTATGTCCCCATGTGTCTCTGAGTCTCCCTCAGGTTTTAGATTGTTTCTTCTGATTCTGTCCTTGTCAGGCTGCAGTACAGTCAGGTGCCGAGGAAGAACCAGGGTCAGAACCATAGATTCCAACTTCTCAGTGACCCCAGGGCTCCCCAAGTTAGCCTGTCCCAAATCCAAAAACCCATACTGCTGGTCCTTCTTCCTGCAGAAGCCCGGCTCTGGGACAGGAGGCCACAGGCAGGCAGACTGGGTGGCCTGAACTGGCCCCCAGTGCCCTCGACCCGACCGGCTGGCCTGAGCACTGACCCGCAGGCAGGCTGCCGGAGGGTGGTGGGGCAGGCGGGGCCTGGAGAGGGCTGTGGGTACACACCCATTGCCTAATATCCCAAGCACGCGGCCAGCTCCAGGAAAGGGGAGGGGCGGGAACCAGAGAGACCTTGACAAGGGTTGGGGCCATGACTGGAGGGGAAAGTGAGGGGCTGTCATTACTTCAGAGAGGGAGTGGGAACAAGCTGGTCCCCTTGTCCCTGAGGAGAAGAGTGGAGGGCTGCCTTCCCATCATAGGGATGGAGGGTGTAGCAGGAGCTATCTGGGAAGAACACTGGGGCCCTGGAGGGCGGGGGTCAAAAAAGAGTGGGGGCCTCTGGAGATTGGGGGATCCAGCAACTGAGGCGGTGGCTAAAGCCAAGAGCAGCCTCGGAAACCTCCTTCTCCTCCTCCCGCTGTGTTTGCCTTGGCCCGGGGTCCCGAGTGAGTCATCTATTGCTGAGCCGCTGATAGGGGCGGCCAGGCCCGGGGAACCCAAATTATAGGCCCAGGAGGGATGGATGCGCCCGCAGTGGTGAGCTCAGCTGCGCTGCCCACCCTCCTCCTCTCACGCTTTCTGCTGCAGCACCGGAGGCCACCACCTGGAGGCACCAAAGGGTCTGAAGCCCAACTGCGCTGGACCCTCGGGAAGACCCCACGTTCAGCAGTTAGCCCCAAGGGTCGGTGGGATTACCCTAGACAGAAATTTGCCCCCTTCTCTACCAGAGGCTGATGCCTTCTCAGACCAAGGAGGTAGTGCCGCCTGCTGGTGCTTCACGGAAGGTAGGCTCCTCTGCCCATAAACTCAGTCCTAGTTCCCACTTTCTCCCCAGACCCCAAGATCAAGGTAAAGCCCCTCTCCCCTCCTACATCTCTCTCCCCATTCCTACTCCAGAGGGGTGATTTGCTACTGATTTTATAGTTCTAGCCTTTAACGTTCTCAGTGATCAAAAGTGACACAGAGAAAAATAAAGCCAGGTAAAGGAGATAGGTAGTGGGATTTCATTTTATACAGGGGGAGGGAAAAGAAAGTGAGACAACAAACCTATGGAGATATCTGAGGAAGGGCATTTCAGAAGACAGAAAAGCAAGTGCAAGATCCTGAGACAGGAGCTTGTTTGGTATAATCAAGGAATTATCGAGGAAGCCAGTGTGGTGAGAGAGAGGAACCCACCTGGGAGAGAGTGGTAGGCAGTAAGGTTAGACAAGGAAGGAGCAGGGAAGGAGGGCACAGGGTCAGCTCTTAAAGGGCCTTGTAGGCCACTGTAAAGATTTTGCCCTTTCCTTTGAGTGAGATGGGGAATCACTGGAAAATCCTGAGCAGGGGAATGAAATAATCTGACTTTTGTTTTAGAAAGAATGGCCCTGGTTGCTGTTTGGAGAATAGACTGTGTGTGTGGAGCGGAGGCAAGGGTAGAAGCAGGAGGCTATTGCAATAATATAGAAGAGAGGCGATGGTGGCTCTGACCAGTGTCGTGGCAGTAGGGTGGTAAGAATGGATCAGATTCAGCCTTTATATATATATATATATAATTTAAATATATCTTTATTGATTTCAGAGACAGGACAGGAGAGGGAGAGAGAGAGGTAGAAACATCAATGATGAGTCATTGATTGAGCCCGAAACTCTGGCATGTGCCCTGATCGGGAATCAAACCCCAATCACCTGGATCCTAGGTCAACACTCAACGGCTGAGCCAGGCCCGGCAGGGCCAGCATATATTTTGAAGACAGGACAGGATTTGTTGATTGATTTGAGGTGCAGTGTAAGAAAACAGATGAGTCAAGGATGACCTTAAAATTCTTTTCCTGAGCAACTAAAGGAAGGATGGAGTTGCCACTTACTGGAGATGGAGATGAGGATGACTGGTGACAGAGCAGATTAGGGTGAGGGAAGAATCAGGGGTTCAAGTTTTGGGCATGTGCATTTTGAGATGCTTATTCAAGTGTTAGATGTGCAAGTTCAGAGTTTGGGGGCCAGAGATATAAATTAGGGAGCATGAGACTGGATAGTTCACCAAAAGAGTGGGTGTAGACTGAGAAGCAGCTCCAGATTGAATTGGGATGCAGTCCCAATTTAGTTTAGAAATTGGGTACACAAGGTGGAACCAGAGAAGGAGGCTGAGAAGGTGAGCAGCTGGGAGGTAGGAATGATGTTCCAGAAAACAAGTGAGAGAATTTCCAGGAGGAGGAATGTTCAACTCTGTATGCTGTTCCTGAAAGGCTGACCAAGATGAGCCCTGAGAGTCAACTGTAGAGCAACACGGAGGTCAGGAATGATTTTGCAGGGATGATTTTGATAGGAGGAGGAGTGGGTTCAAAGGTATGATTAGGGTGGAAAGAGAGACTAAATAAGAGAGATTGGTGCTAGTCATTAAAGCAACCCTTTTGAGTTTTGCAGTAAAAGAAAACAGACAAATGGGGCAATCTTGGGTGGTAGTGTGGAGTCAAATGAAGTTTGGGGGTTTTTAGATGGGAGATATTACAGCATGTTTATTTGCTGATGCGTATGGTCCAGTAGAGAGATAAGTTGCTGCAGGGAAGAAACAGAGAACAATGGACAGAGTGATGATTTGATCCAAATAGAAATTTGAGCCAGGTCACACATTATATGACCCAGACCTAGAGCCCTCCTGCTCTTCCCTACTCCTCCTGGTGGGTGGAAGGAACGCTGGCTCCTTCTTCCTCTCTTCCCACCTCTGTCACCAGTGGTAACAGTCAGGGCTTCCTTTTCTTTTGGCCCACCTCCCACCTCCATGGGGTTTTATCCCCAGTGAGGAGAAACTCCTAAGGGATAAAGGACAAACTGCCCATGGTACTTTGTCTCTTTACTTGAGCCGTCTATGCTGGGTGTCCTCCGCAGAGACACTGGCTTTGGAGAATGCTGGGCCAGTACACATTGTCCCTCAGGGTCAAATCCCTAGAGGAACCAGGTACACTGGACTGGACAAAGGGCCTAGAAGGACAGTCCTCTCAAAAATAACCTCCATTAGGCTGCCTTTGGGTTAATACACATCTCATTTAAAATGCAAGTGCCCCAGGAAGGTTAATTAAACTTACCAGGATTATTTTCTTAAAGTGATTTTCCTGCTTTGGAGAGGAGGCTTGGTCATTTCTAGGACTGGAACGCTTTAGGATCAGGCCTGGGTACATTACTCAGTGAGAAAACATCCTAAGGACAAAGGACATGGAAAAGAGAGGATCCAAAAGGGAGGCAGGAAACTCCTAAAAATCATTTTTATTTATCTGTCCATTTTGGGAAGGGCCCCTAGCCTGCTGTTGCTGCACAATCACAAGCAGCTGGTCAAGTGAAAAGAGCATGGGCTTTGAGTCAAAATGATCTGGGTTTTAGCCTAGCTGTATCATTTATTCTTTTATCAGCTGTGTGGACCTTGGACAACTACCTGATCTATTTTTTCTGCTGTAAAATGGGAAAAGACATGTAAAGGAGGAGACCCTCCCTCCTTCCAGGAGCCACCTGTGTGTGTGCTGGTGGGGCATGATAACCAGGCTGACAGTGCCCCCATGCCCTATATAGGCAACAGCAGTGACTTCTTCAATAGGAAGCCAAGGTGGAGCCCCTGGGAGGGAAAAGAGGAGTGTACAACAGAGGGGATGGTTGCAGGTGCTCTGGGTCTCCCAGCACGGTGAGAGTGGAGAGAACCAGAGTTTGGGGGTAAGACAGAAACTTGACAGAAAAACCCCAAAAGAATCAAACACATGGAAGCACAAGTTCCCTGTTCTGGGTTCAGTTTAGCCAGTGGCCCTTGTCTTCCCAGTCCTCCCCCAATACACACACCTGACATCTACTCCATTGCCCTTCCTTTCTAAGCCTAGTCTTCAGAGACTCAGACACTCCAGGCCTTATTCATCTTGACACCACCTTGGTCGCTGGCTCAGCCCTCTCCCCCAGTGACACGCACAGGTTGGCACATACCACAGGGTGACACACCATAGGATGACACAAGGTACACAGGCAAGAGTGACACATACATGCATATTTAATCTCCCCATGCACACATTCTTCCACCCACCCACCCACCTCCACACACAGTCCCAGACATTCTCTATCCCTCAGTCAACTGGGTCTTTCCTGACAGTAACTGTCACCTCCTTCCTGGCACATAGAAGGTGGTGCACTGCCCCAGGTGGTGGCTGTGACAAGATGACTTGATGATCCCTTCTGATCTGTGTCAAATTCCAAGATTCTTTAGAAAGGTTTCTAACATCCCTCCTCAAACCATGGAGTTTCTGCACATGAGAACACACATGAGTGTGTACACTCAGAACACACTGGCACGCATTCTCACATGCACTCACATTTGCATTGTCCCACTTGCACACACCACACAGCCACAGACACTAGTGTGTACCTTCAGGCCCGTAAGCACATACTGCCACTTCCTCAGGTTTCTCTTCACGGCCAGGCTCTGTTTAGTCAGCTTACCCCCCAACCCACCCCCGGGATTTCCCTGACCACAGCCCCACCTCCACCCCCAGTCTCCCCCTTTTCCTTCCCTATCCAGCCATGGGGGTTCCTGGGAGGGAAGGCGTCTCCCCAGAGTCGCTGCCCAGAACCACAGCTTTCCTTCCTCCACTCAGGATGGGGGAGAGAGGGAACGCCGACAAGGCCTGGGGTGACGTCGAGGGGACAGCCCCAGGGCGGGCGGCAAAGCCGCGGAGCTCGGGTGGATTCTCACGGAAAATCCTGAGAGCACACTGTCGCTGCGCCCCCTAGCGGACGCTGGCCCCCGACGGGCTCCCGACGCCAACAGGAGCGAGGCTGGCGGGTGCGCGTGGGAGGGCGCCTAAGGGGAGGGGTCGGCGGCCAGTGCAGGCCCGGAGGCGGGAGCCACCG